TCTGGAAAATTTCATCTTGATAAAACATGAAAAAGCCAAAATAAATTTAAAAAATAAACCATAGCATGTAGACAAGCAAGTGCACAATATTTTTAGGCTGCAATCTGTAAGACATCCAGCTAGCTGCAATGAGTTTGCACTGCTCAGAGCAGCTGCACAGAGCTCACGGGGCTGTGGTTGCAGCGCTGGGCTCCCAGGGGCTGTCCCTACAGCGGAAGAAGACAGCGCAGCTGACTGCACAGCACATCTCTGATCTCTGGGAGACCTTTGGCAAGGTCTTACACTCATGGCTCATAACCCTCCATAAAATCTTTACTGTGCTTTTTCTCAGGCAAAGTAAACACTTTTAGAATCAAAACATCAGGAAAGGAGAGAGAGATAAAGCCCTTGGAAATAAACTGGTCACATTACTAAGCACTGCAGTGGTACTATCCTGATCAGTATCTATTTTCACAGCTTGGTGAACACTCTCCTTAGTTTTGCTTACATTTTGCCCAGGTGAGAGGAAAAACATGCAGCATGCTCAGAAAGCAAAATGTTACCACCCTTAACCAACTAGCAGATCTGGAACATTTGTTAACTCACAGTGCAGTTTCAAGTCTGAGCTGAATCAATGAAAACCTCATTCTCTGGTGAAATAAAACAAACTATCCTGGAGCAGGCAACACCAGCTCTGAAGCTGATGTTCACAGCTAGAGTTTTAGGTGATGATTTAAGTAATACCAGTTTCAGGTGAGCTTTCACGTTCTGTGTCTGCTTTCTGAGGAAGCACTCACTTAAACTTTCCCAGCCAAGAGTCTGCAATGATGGCTCCAAGGATCGGCGTCAAATAACACAGAGCCACAAATGTGTGGTAGATGGCAGTGGCAAAGTTGTCTTCCCAGTGTAGGAAACGTGTGAAATACAAAGTGAGCACAGCTGTAGGAAGAGCAACAAAACAACAGGTTACAGACCCAAGTCAGGCCTGGGCAACACTCAGCACAAGGAGACGAGGGACATACCTTTCATGCCATAGTAGGAGAACCGTTCACAGAACTCATTGATGACAATGAAGAAAATGCTCAAAGGGAAGCCAAAGCAGAGCACCTGGAGGCAAGAGAGAATGTGAGCTCAGAGCTGTGCAACCCAGACTAACACTCTTCACTGCAAGCCACAGCTCAAGCAAGCTCAACATGGACTCAGTGGGAGTGGTAGGTACTCAGGGTCTGTACACTGCACAGGCTTCTGAGGGAGGACAGGAGTTTACCTGAACCAAGAGTCAGTTGTCACTTTCCTCTCTTGGTCCCCAGAGGTATGCACACCTCTCATTTTGCAAGAGACCTTCAGCAATGCTAGAAATGACCTATAAGTGTTGTACTATGCACATTTGAGGTCTCCAGCACCTAACCCTTACAGCAATCTTGACTGGTATCAAAAAATATACAAAAAGCCAAAATGTTTCTGGAAAAACAAAAAATTAAAACCCAAGGCTAAACAA